TTGATAGTAATGAATGCATTTTTATTATTAAATAATAAATTTTTTATTATTATTGTTTAAATCATACATCAAATTATAATTTTTAATTAACATAACATAAAACTTTTTTTTTACATATTTGTTGTTGTCGTTGTTGGTTACATTGATATTGGATTTATTTTTTGTTTATACACTATTTGGTTTATACTGTATATATATATAATATTAGATATATATAATAAATTAGATATATATATATAAATATTATTAATAAGTTTGTTTGTATGCATCAAATGTTATAATCAATTAGTGTTTGTGTCATTTAAAGTGCCACTTAATTCACAAACGTTTTTTTGCATTTGTTTAGTATAAGTGATGTGTAAATTAATTTATATATACAAAATGATGCATAGGATTGATATATTAATATAACATTGCAAACAAATATAAGGTTTTTTTTTGTTCATTTAAATAAAACAAAATAATTTTATTAAAATGTGAAACTTTTTAAATAACAATAACAATAATTAGTAATTTTATTGTAAATTTTATATTTAAAACTATTTATTAATTATATTACTATTTATAATTATTTACAATAATCTTAATTTATAAATAATAAACTCAAATTATTAGTATATTAATAATATATACCTTTATAGATATATATAAATTTAAGTTTAACATTAATTAGCAAATACTAGTATAAGTTATAAACTTTTCAAGTAATAAGTCATCTATATATATTTAATTGACTTTTAAAAAAAATTATAATAAATTAATTTTTTTTAAATTAATAATTAACTTGAAGTGGATTCTGTTTTTTAAAAAATTTATCAAAAAAAACAAAATTATGCATTATTTTATTTTAATAATATTATTATCATATAATACATATACAATTATTTATTTATTTTATAAAAATGTTAACTATATATATTTGATATATATATATATAAAGATTTAGTAGATTATAAAAAATAATACTAACAAAAAAATTGTGTGCAAATATTGAATGCTTTATTTGAGAATAAAAGTAAAACCTCTAAAACCACTTGTTTTTCTCTCTCTCTCTCTCTCTCTCTCTCTCTCTCTCTCTCTCTCTCTTAAACTTTGATTTTTGTTGTTATTTTTGCTTTCAATGCTTTTTATTTGAGAGTATATACTGTATATACTTTCATAGCTTTCATAGTGATTAAAAGTGAGGCCAAACAGAGAGAGAGAGAGAGAGAGAGTATACAGTAGTTTAATATGAAATAAACACGCAATCACTACAATCATTGCCATCATCTCTCTCTCTCTCTCTCTCTCTCTCTCTCTCTCTCTCTGTCTCTCCTTTTTCATCTCCCGGTTCCTTAACTAGTGTTGAGAGAGAGAGAGAGAGAAACCTATATAGGAATGGACGACAAGATTAAATGCTCTTAGATTTGAAATAAAAGCAAACATCGGTTCACAAATAAAACAACAACTTTCTCTCTTTCTTTCTCTCTCTCTCTCTCTCTCTCTCTCTCTACTACTACTACTACTACTACTACTACTACTACTACTACTACTACTACTACTACTACTACTACTACTACTACTACTACTACTACTCTACTTATAGTTTATGGCATCAAAAGAGTTTTAGGAGTCTCTCATCGGATTCATTGTTGCGATCAAATAGAAAGAGAGAAAGAAAGAGTCAAAAAATTATTGTAAGCCTAGACTATAGACTGAATCAAACCAAATGCCCTAAACTCTATGGCACTTATTTTATTTTTACCGATCACTACATATTATTATTATTATTATTATTAAATGAAAATATATATTATTATATGACAAACAGCTTTTAGTCATAATTGATTCCCTCTATCATACATACATACAATATATATACTGTATATACAATGTATACCGATATATAATATACAGTGTTATACCCGCTACCGTATACTTACTTTTATTAACTTTGGAAAATATGAAAGTTATTGTAGGTTTCATTATATATATATACAATATATATATAAAAAAAATTAGTATATATTGTTTTAACCAAAAAAATATATCTAATATTTGTTTCAAAAACAAACACAAAAGTTTCATTTTAATTTCTTTTACATTAGTTTATCAACAAAAAAAATTGTAATAAACTTTTGACTAAAAAAATATTTTTAAAAATGCACTAAAATATTGTTTATTTTAAAATAAATTTATTAATTAATATCATACATTGGTATTATTATTATTATTATCAAATAAGATATAATAACAAAAATTAAATGTTTAATTTATTGCTAAAATAAATCACTTTATTTATCGAAAATTTCTATAATTATTAAATTAATTTACTTATAAAAAAACACATTTACCGATGTTATATATAACAACAGATAAATATTATATATATATATATATATATATCTAAACAATAATTAGATAAAGATATATGAGTTTACTATTTGTTTTTTTAAGTTAAAAGTTTGTATACTTTAAAGTAATATATATTATATAGTTTTCAATAAATAAAATTCAGACAAACAAAACAAAAGTAATCGATACAGTGTTTTATATATATATATATATATATATAAATAATAGTGTTTTTGCAAAATTAATGAATAAAAGAGGAAAAATAATGATAATTACAATGAAATTCTTGACACGTTTTGTAAAACTGTTTGATACATACATACAAACAAACAAACCATTGAATGAATCGGTATTGTAAATGAATGTCACTTAACATTGTATTTTGAGTTTAATCTTATGTATTGGCCTTTCAATTGATAGATAAGACTAACGTAAATAAGAGTCACAAAAATAATAGTTAAACTAATTTTTATCGCAATGTTTGTATCTGTTTGTCTGTCTATTTATTTATGTTATAATATTAGCAATAATTTAATATTATTTATATGTTAATAGTTTGATGCATACATACACTGTACTACTATTTGATTAGATTATTATTTGTAACTTTATTTAATAATATATATATTTAATGCTTTATAATTATTGAGATAATTAGGTTATTGATGTTAAAAGTTTTTAATAATATTAAACTAATTTACTAAATATTCATATCATTATTTTATAATAATCTTTATATAACTTTTAGATAACTTAAACATTATGCTTTAAATAATAAAATTTTAGACAATTATAATACAATAAATGTATTGATATTATATATATATATATATATATATATATATATTCTATAAAGTTATAGAAATTTTCATAATAAACAGTATTATTATTAGTAATAATTTATTAAAGTAAATAGTCTTAAATAAAAATAAACTTTGAAAATATTTATTTATTATTAATAATAAAATTTAAAAATTTTATAAATATTTAAATTAAAATCAGATTTTATATTTATAAATTTGGTTGACTAAGCTTATTAAATGTTTGTTATTATTATATAATGTTAATTAATTTTATGAATATTATAAATTTTACTAACTATAATAATAATAATACTAATGTAAACATTGAATATATATATAAAACCTAAAATAATTAAACTAAACAAAAAAAAACCATAATTTTTTTCTCGAAATTTTATCTGAATTAATTAAAACCCAGATAATATTATTATTGAAAATATATTAACAAAATTAAAATCTAAAAACAATTTAATTATAAACTGTATTGACATTAAATAAGTGGTCATATAATAAAAAAAAATACAATATAATTATAGTATAGTATAAAATAGATAACAACAAACAACTTTGATAATAATATAATATTAAATAGTTGTAAATTTGATTTAATAGTTAGATAACTCTCTCTCTCTCTCTCTCTCTCTCTCTCTCTCTCTCACTCACTCACTCACTCACTCACTCACTCACTCACTCACTCACTCACTCACTCACTCACTCACTCACTCACTCACTCACTCACTCACTCACTCACTCACTCACTCACTCACTCACTCACTCACTCACTTTCTTTATAAAGTCGACATTTACTTTAAATACACAATAAAATTATTTCAACAAATTGTTAACATTTTATTTATATATATATATATATATGTATGTGTTATACATACAAATAATAATAATAATAATAATACAGTGATGTAAAGGCTCAGCAAGAAATCGTTAAAATAAGGATTTTTTTTATTTAGTTATTTCGTTGAAAACTTTGTGAAAAGCGAAAAATAGTTTGTAATACAGGATTTGCAATATATTTTCATACTTTACTATTTTGCAAACAAATCTCATATGAGTAGTAGTAGTAGTAGTAGTAGTAGTCCTTAACCATCGCAGCTATATTTTATGTCAATCTTGAGATCGTTATATTAGTAGTCGGATATATATATATATACAGTACTACACAATAGTGGGTCCAATAAGCTATTGTCAAGCCTTTTACACTCATTCACTATATATATATATACCTTATATATCAAAATATACACAACATTTACATTGTATGATATAATATTGTATAATATAATATTGTATAATATATATATATATATATATATATATATATATATATATATATATATATATATATATGTATGTATATAAATGTTTTATAGTAAAATTTATATACTTGTAAAACATTTATAGGATAATGTAGTATAAAGTTTTTTTTGCTATCAAGTTTTTTTTCACCAAAATCCTAGAGGCTATAACAATTTTATTATCATATTTATATATAAATTAGATAAATATTATATTGAGTATATGTTATACATGTTATATAATATGTACTTTAAATTGTTTTCATATATACAGTATAATTATTACGTTTAAAATTTAATAATAATAAACTATTTTAAATAATTTATAGTTTCTAAAGTATTGCTAGAAAACATTTTAAACTAATATAGTAGTAGTAGTAGTAGTATTAGTGATAAAAATAAATCTTATTTAATATAATATATATTGTATACTATATTAAAAAAAATAGGTTCAAAACGGAAATCTAAGTCAAAAAATACGATAACAAAAACAACAACAACAGAAACGACAAACAATGTCAACAACGATAATGATTGTAGTCTATCATCA